TTTGCCTTGTATGTTGGAAGGGAGAGATTACCAGGCAAGTTCACTCTGCCGTGATGCTGACATCACCAACATTGTTATTAATTTCAGTAGTAATTTGAAACTTTTCTATGTAATATGCCAATTTTATACATTTAGAAAATTTAATTTTGGGGCCATTTCTCTCCTTTTTCCTCCTCCTCATCCTCATTTTTCTTCTTCTTCTTTTGCCTATTTCCCTCCCACTAACATACTATTTCAATGGTCAAGGATTTTGAATGTATAATTTTACTTACCTGGGGTAGTCTCCCCTAATAACTCATCTTTTTCAAAGTTTCTTTCAATTCCTAAATATTTATTTTTCCTGATAAATTTTAGGGTCATTTTGTAAAGTTTGAAAACTTCTCATAAAGTATATTTAGAATTTCATGACTTTACATATTTATTTTAAGGATAATGGTGTTTTAATATCTTGTTTTCAAGTGATAACTGGATAGTCTATAGGACCCCTCTCCCTATCCCTTAAGATGCAGGATCACAAGCAGGATAATCAGACTTTTCATGTGATACTCAGGGATCCCAGCAGTACAAAGTTGAAGGTGTCAGGCCAGTTAAGTGCTATGTCCCAAAATATCATACTGTCACTTTCACAATCTTGTATTGCTCAAAGAAGTTACATGCTTGTTCAGATTTGATTTGGTGGAGAAGTAGATGACAACATTTGATGGGGACTGGCAAAGTCACATTGCAGAACAGCATGTGGGATGGGAGATATCATTGTATTCATTTTTGGAAAATACAATTGTCTACATCTCTGAAAGGGCATGCCTGGATTTTCATTCAGATTGAGTTGAATCTATAGATCATTTTCGAGTGAACAACATCCTAACAATATTGAACTTTCTAATTCCTGAATACCATATGTCTATTTATTTAGGTATTTTCAAAATTTATTTTTGAAAAGTAATTTTTAATATAGGGATGTTGTTCATATTTTCATAAATATTTATTTTTTCAGATGCCATTGTAAAAGATGTTTGATATTTTTTCCAATTGTTATTAATGCTAATATATAGAAATGTAATTGAATATTTAATTTGGACCTTGAATCCTACAAACTTGCTAAATTCACTTATTTATACTAATCTCCGTAGATTCCTTAGGATTTTCTATGACACAAGCATGTCACCCTCTAAAAAAGGACAGTTCATTTCTTTGAGAGATATAGGAGTATTTAGCTTTTCAATTTCTTTTTGAGTAATTTTAAGAAGTATGTGTTTTTCCTATATTTTACCTATTTTATCTAGGTTATCAAATTTATTGGAATAAGGTTTTTAATAACAATGTTAATTATTCTTTTAAAGTCTGAGGGATCTGTATGATGGTTATCTCCTATTTTGTTTCTGATATTGGTAATTTGGATTTTTCTGTCTTTTGATCACTCTTGCTAGAAGTTTATCAATTTTGCTAAAAAAAGTAGCAATTTTTGTCTGTTTTGATTTTCTCCATTTTATGTTTTCTACTTTGTTAATTTTTTGTATTATCTTTATTATGTCTTTTCTTTTACTTTGGCTTTAATTTACTTCTCTTACTCTAGCTTCTTAAGATAAAAGCTTGGATAGCTTCTTTTAAGCATTTATCTTTAATATAACCATTTAAAACTATAAACTTCCTTCTAAGTACTGTTCTGTTTTCGTCTCACACATCCCTATATGTTTTTATTACTTAATTCTAAATATCTACTTATTTCTATTATGACCTATTCTCTGATTTATAAGTTCTTTAAATATGTATTACTATTTACAAATATTTGGAAGATTTTATAGATATCTGTATTTGTTTTCTATTTCTGTATGACAAATGCCCTAACACTTAGTGGCTTGATGCAAAACACAATTCTAATCTCACAGTTTCTGTACATCAGAAAACTGGGCATGACTTAACTGATTCCTCCACTTTAGGGTTTCTCATAAGGCTATAATCAAGGTGTTGGCTGGAGCTACAGTCTCATATGAAAGCTCAACTGAGGAAGGATCCACTTCTTAGCTTGCTCACATGATCATTAGCAGAATTCAATTTCTCAACATAAATTAACAATCTCTTCAAATTGTAGTTCCAATTTCATCCCACTGCCCTTTGAAATTATTGTCATATATTTTACTGCTAAAAATGTTATAAACCCCTGAACTTATTATCAATCTTCCTTCAAGTGATTAATTTTTTAAAGTATTTAAGAAAAAAAGAAAACTGATCTGTTTTATCCATATACATTATTTCCATCTTTTCTATATCTCCTGATTTTTATATGATATTGTTTTCTTCAGCCTGAATAAATTCTTTTTGCATTTCTTGCAATGTAAGTCTGCTGGCTAGGGCTTTTTCCATCCCTCAAATACTGAGGTTTTTCCTGACTTGCATATACACAGGTTGAGACTACATTCAGCCCAGCAAAAAAATAGCTGAAAGGCTGAAAGAATGAGCAGAAATTTCAGCAGCTTCCCAGTGCAAAGGTATTGGAAAAGAGTTTGCAGCCCAAGTTCTGCCAGTTTAGAGTGACTAATTAAATGCATCAGACTTTCCATTGAAACCCAAGAAGGTCCATGCCTCAGGATTAGCATCTACATCTCAGGATTAAGGACTATACTATAGGACTTTTAGGCATTCCTCTACCAACTGGACTACTCTTCCTTCTTTACCCTTTATAATTTCCACCACTTATTAGTTCAGGTGGGTCAGTAGAGGCATTTCATTATATCTTTCCTACAAATAATATAAGTACAATTCTCAGGTAAAGCTCTAAATAAACTTCAATCAAGTTCTCCCACTCCAGCAAAAAGGGATTGAGTGCCTTATCCTAGCACCTACTAACTTAATGTCACAAATGAGAGAAATAGTTGGGTTTTATTCTCTAAAGTCAAGGCAATCTTATGGGGAAAGAATAATAATGTCCTTCTTAAGATTTATCACCCATTTGTGTGCTTCTTTCCTTTTTGTCATGATTTTCCCATTCAACCACTTATTACCCATCTGAACACAATTTCAGGTTTTGATTAAGTTATCATTATATGAGTTGTAAGGGGTATAATATGTTTTTGTGATACACTTCTTAGCCACTGGACATGGGGAAAATTGTGACTTGGTTCAGTAATATGTAATTTAGGGGAACAAATTGGTACACCATGTATTGTTCCAAGCTTGATAGCATTTTCATTCGTGTTTTGGATCACAGACTAACTGAAGTCCAAAGTGGAATTAAAAGATAATCCATTTGAGGCTACTGGGAGCTATGGCTAATGGTCTTTTGTAACATCCCTACAAGCTATGTGGTGATCCTTAGCCCTAACAAATCCTCCTCAAGTGATTTTAAACAGCTTTTCTGTTATTATTATAGCACATTAGTCTCTATCACATTGGTGACATTGGTTGACTTCGTGGTATATGTTGTTATTCTGCCCATTAGTATGTGTCATTTATCCCATATATTAAAGTGGCTATCTCCAGAGGGGAAGTAAAATGCATTCTATTCGTCTTTTTGAGTCAATACTTGGATTCTTTGAAGGATTGACATGACCCACTTTAACCTTCCTTCTGAGTACTCTAAGACCTTCCATAACATCATTCTGTGTCATGGACATGGTCATCCACTCATCAAGGGCTTATTTGTATGACAAAATGTTGAAGCTAATTGCTACAACCCATGGATTTGTAAATATCAAGACATTGCTCTGAAGGTGAGAACCAGTCTCCCTGCACTGATATATGCTGCTCACATATATAGTCACTGAGTAGACTTAATTTTGTCTTATTTGACCAAGGTTTTACCTTTCAGAGAGAATTTTCGAAGATTTCCATGTGAATCCTACCCTTTTGTTTGGGAACTTTCATTGGGAAATTAAGTATCTTGTGTTTCTTTTGCAGGAAGTGAATAATTACATTCTTATAACTTACAAATGAGTGAATGACAAACTCTACCAGAGGTTCTGTTTTGTTCTGAAAGTTATGTTTATGAATATGATATACTTTCCCTGAGCCACCTCCCAGAGCATTTTTTTATATATACTAATTCCATTTCATTAAAAAGCTTTGTTGTTCTACTCCATCTTTTTGAGAATGACCCTCTGACATCACCCATGACATAAAGGGCACTGGTGATACATTTAAGATGTGTCTACAAACATCCAATGACTTCTAGTTGTTGTCTTTCAAACAAGCTGCATTTGGCCACTGTATCAAAGAATTATTGACTCACAAATCCCAATGTTCCTTAAGGGTGACAGTATTAGACTTCTGCCAAAGTCTCCATGTTGCAAGCAGTTATATAGTAGATGCTTCTGAAAACATCTGAGCAATAGTATTATGGGATTCACTGACATTGCCTGAGTATCTTCCCATTTTGAATCTCCTAGAGCCAACGTCATTTCTTTCTTGTTACTAGGATATGAAAGGGATAGTGTTGAATTTGGTAGGGTTTGTAGATTGTCTCTAATGATCATGGACTATGTTATTTCCAGAAACTTGCCTGATTGGCTCAGCCTCTGTACTTTGGCTGGATTGATCAGTCATATTTCACTAACCATACGCATCATAGCTCTTATATCCTTCCAAGCTTCTTCCTTTGAAAAGCAAACTATGATGTCATCAACGTAATGAATACACTTACTTTGAGTGTGGTCATATCTAAACTACATTAAAAAATATGGCAGTATGTTAAGTACATATTTATTTGGGGAAAAATGGTAAACATATATTACATTCCTTTCCATATAAAAGCTAACTATGTCTGACATTCCTTTGATTCTAAAAGTTCATCTGTAAGCATAAAGATACACAAATTGCAATTAAATTTTGAAAGGATAATGAGCCATTCTAGATGATAATACAGATTACATTGTTGCAACAATTAAAATTATGTGGTACTGGTTCAAAAATAGATATATATATGTAAATGAATAAAAGGGATTATAAATTAACCCAATTTCACATACATATTTAAAATGAGACTGTTTCAGTTAAGAGACTTTTGCTTGTAAATGACAGAAGAGTCAAATTGTTTTGAAATATAAAGATATTTGTTGATTGGCTAACATAACTGCAAACTTCAAACTTATGGAAGCTTCATAGTTAGTTGATAAAATGAATCAGTTATGTTATAAAAAGGTTCTTTTCTTTATTCACTATGTCCCATTTATCACAGTGTTGGATTTATCTTAACCTGCTCTCTTAGCACTAGAAGGATTGCTACCTGTAACAATTCAGAGAAAGGACTCTTTCTATGACTCTGGTAGACTTAATTGAACGTGATTATCAGGTGAAAATGGAAATGCTATAAAACGGTATTGGCAAGGAAGAATATTTTTGTCTCTCAGGTGATCCACTTGGCTACTTACTGCTACTCTATTCCAACTGTGACAGTAAATGAGAAAATACAGGAACTCTGGCCTGAGAAAAGCATAGGGAAGAGGTGATCAGACATTTTAGGGGTGAAGTTCTGGGCTACACATCTAGGTAAGTCACTGAGACCAGTCAAGATGTTAGTGGAAGAGGAACTGAGAATAGAATTGTGAGTGAAGGAAGAAGAAGATAAGTAGAAGTTAAAATTCTAAGATCAGCTGAGTGGCAAAGGACATGGTTTATTCTTCTAAGCATTCTCTTCTAACTTCCCCCAGAAAGAGGGTCCTAGATGAACTGTTCCCGTGATATAGATGAAGAAATGGATTCAAGCGGCATAAAGGGTCGACTGAGGTGAATGTGCTGATGTCCTACCCTGCTCTCCTCTTAGTAAAGAATAATATAATATATTGTTCCTGTTACTGGGAGTGCTGTTAGTAGACAATCTATTCAAGTTTAACTTCTTCAAAGTTCACATAAGCTTCAGGGATCCACCTTATCAAAGGTCTCATGCCCTTTCCCAGAGCAGTACCTCATTGCTTCCAGATAAATAACTAGGTTCAGGTGTCAGTAGAGCCCAAGTAGGAAATACAGTCTTGTTTTAGAAGGAAAGTTTTTTGATTAAAAAAATGCAGTATCTGGATAGTATATGTTGGCAATAACTGGAGTAACATGTGGAAATGGATCTCTTGGATATTGAAATAGAGGAGGGCAAAATATAAGGCTACATGGAGGAAAGTTTATTAGCATGGGGATATTCTCTCATGAATATACACAGCATATAGTATAATATGACTAGAGCGGACTAAGAACATACTGTATGCTACACATATAGGAGAGTATTCCAAACTTTCAGAGCAGGATATCCCAGGTGGCACCGTGACCCAGCCTTCAGTAGGCCATTCCAATGTTCTGTTCGGCCAATTGCTTCTAGGTGATGAGTAACATGGTTATGCCAGTGAATTCTATGGTGGTGAGCAATTTGCTTTACTTTATTTTCTCTAAAATCTGTCTCCTGATTAGAGAAGACAATGAGTGGAGTACCATGGCAATGGATAATGGGTTCAGATCCATGAATAATGAAGCAGGCTGAATCACTGCTTGTAGCAGGGACAAATATATATCTAGAATCTGTGATGACTAGATGCTGTCTCCTCCAGGTTGAAGAGTTTCAATGAAGTAAGCTGCCACAGTCGTTGGTTGGTTTCCCTAGAGAATTGTGCCCTATGAGGGAGTCAGTGATGGACTTTACTAACAGAATTTTGGACATTTAGCAGTGATAGTAGCCAGACCAGGAATGCTGAAAGCCACATCATGTTGAGCCTGTGTAGAACACTCATTTCTGCCACAGGGACCACAAAAGTGCCTGGGGAAAAACGCTGACTGACATTCATAAGACAGGTCATTTTGTCAACCAGACTTTCGAGAGCCTTCTCTGCAGTGCCTTCTCTGTGACAGGCACTTATATGAGAAACAAACATTGCTGTATTTGGTGTCCATTCTGAGTGATCCATCCACATACTGCTCTTCCAGACTGCTTCGTCATCCATTCTTCCATTTTTCCTTTCCTTCAATAGTTTATGAAATCTATGGTCACTATCCTTGAGTCGGTGTAGATCCATGAGTCAACCATTTCTCTTTCCATGTGAAGTGGAAAACCATATGTACTGCTCCAAATACTGCTTACTAGGAGGGTTTCCTTCACTACAATCCTTCAAGATCTCCCTCAAGTGAGACTGCGGTGCAGCAGTTGTCCACTTTTGCCTATTGTTACCATGCTATGCAGATTTATTCATACACTTGCTGTTATTGTTATTCTCTCCATCCCACTGCTTATTTTAGTTTTACTTTTCTGTCATTTTAATATCTTCTTGAATATATGTTTAGTGCATTGGTTTTTCAAGATTTATCAATTTTTAGTGCATGCAAATAAAATTTTAGCTGACTCTCACAGCTTTGCTGTGCTGTGCTTTCATCATTCTTAAGCTCTAAATATTTTCTAATTTCTGATGTGATTTATTGTACCCAGGGGTGATTTAGAAATGCAGTGCTTAATTTTCAAACATATAGGAATTTTCTGGTTACTTTTAGGTTTTTATTTTCTAGCTTATTTTCTTCATGGTCAGAGACATATTTTATGATTGTAATTCAATGAAATTTGTTAAGAATTGCTTTATGACCCAGTATATAATCAATTTTGAAAAATATTCCCTCTGTACTTGAAAAGAAGATGGATTTTGCAGTTGTTGGATGTATTGTTTTCTTACGTCATAGGTCACATTTGCTAATAATGTTTTTTAAATTTTTTATATCTCTATGAACTTTTTGTTGTGTGCATGTTCTTGCAGTTACTGAGAGTTGTGCTGATATCTACTTCTATTATTGCTGATTTATCTATTATTTCTTTCAAGCCAATATAGTTTTTCAAAATATATATTAGGAAGCTATGTTTTTAGTCACATACCCATTTATAATTGCTACATATTTCTGCTATATTGACTTTTTGCTCTTGTAGAACTTTTATATGTGGAAATGCTTCTTGCCTTGAAGCCTGTTTTCTTTCTGATGGCAGTATAGAAAAAGTGCCCCTTTTCTGGCTAAAATTTATTCCACTATATTATTTTCATCTTTTATCCTCTTATGTATGATGTTTATCTTGTAAGGCTCATGCCAATGAGTTTGTTTTCTTTTGGCACTATGAAGACATAATTCCTCTATCTTGTTGCTTTCTATCCTTTTAAGAGATTGGTTGTCAGTATTATTGTTACTTCCTTGAATGCAATAAGTCCTTAAGGCTTTCTCTTTGTCTTTGGTTTTATTATGCCCTAAGTTTTCTATTTATCCTTTTTTTGAAATTTATCATTTTTAAAAATTAATTAAAGTTTTTGCTGAGGAAGATTCAGCCTGAGCTAACATCTCCTGCTCATCTTCCTCTTTTTGTATGTGAGCCACCACCAGAGGATAACCAGTGACAGACAAGTGGTATAGGCCTGTGCCCAGCCTCTGAAGCAGTGCATGCCGAACTTAACCACTAGGCCACCAGGGCTGGCCCCTCAAAATCATCATTTAAAAATTTTATTCTTCATGAGATTCGTAACTCTGTATGAATGTACATCTTAATGCCTTTCAATAGTTTTGGGAAAAATTCAGTCCTATCCTCAAATATTTTGCCTACCTTGTCTCTTTTTCTTCTCTTTCTTAAATTATAACTAAGTTAAAACTATGTTGAAGCTAGGCGCTGTACCTTTTAGTGTCTTTTATGCTATTTCCTGCATTGTCCACCTTTTTACCTCTCTCTTATTTGCATATTCTGCATATTCTCTTCCAATCGTTCTCCCCATTTATTAATTCCCTATTCATATGTGTTTAATCTGCTGTTAAACCCAATAATTGAGTTCTTAATTTCAGTTATATATTTTAGTTTTCAAATTTCTTTGATTCAATTTGTTATGCATCTTGCGCTTTAATTATTTGAACATACTAAATTTGTTTTGAAATGCTTGTTTTTTCCTAGTCTGGATCATCTATATCTGTTTCTATTGCTATTGCTTTTCAATTAAGCCTTGTATTCTCCTATGTTTTGTTATCTTCTTTTTTGTGCCAGATTTTATATTCAAAAAGTTGTAGAGATAATTCAAGGATTTTATGGTGTTTTCATCCTTAAAAGAGATTTCATTTTGTTTCTACTTGGGAGCTAGGTTTGGGCGAAAGCAAGAACACAGATAATCTCATCAAGAAATTAGATGATTCAAGCTGGGCTTGAGTTTCTCTGAGAACTACTCTATTTTCTCTTCACCCTGACTTCAACAGTAAAGCCCGTTATGGTCTTAAATGAGAACCTGGTTATTTTACAAAAGCATCTTTTCCTTTTTTTCTTTTTGTGAGAAATATTAGCCCTGAATTAATATCTGTTGCCAATTCTCCTTTATTTCCCTTGAGGAAGATTAGCCCTGAGCTAACATCTGTGCCAATCTTCCTCTACTTTGTATGTGGGATACCTTTAGCTCATGGCTGATGGGTGAAGTAGGTCTGCACCTGGGATCCAAACCTGTGAACCCAGGCCACTGAAATGGAACATGTGGCACTTTAACCACTTGGCCACGGAGCCGGCCCCAAGCTTCTTTTCCTTGATAGACGTTGAATCCCATTTGTTGTCCCCCAGGGTAAAGTGTCTGAAGGAAGTTCCACTTAGCTTTTCAGCTTTTCATTTGTGGTTTTGAGAATTAGCTCACATCCTTATAGAGAAAAGAAGCCAGGAAATGCAGGGTCAAGCTCTCTGGTTTCTCTTCTCTTAAAAATATTGACCCTACAGATCCTTGATTCCTTATTAGATCTCAATGCTTTTAAACACATGCATTTTATATTTCTCTAGCTCTTCCAGCTTCTCTTATTGGGAGATTTGGTGCAAAATAAGCCGTTCTTGCTTTTCCATTGACAAATAGAGTTTCTCCATTGAGTTCTCTAGTTTGGGAATGGATGTGGTTTATAGAGAATTACCGTGAATTATTAACTATTTTAAGGCAATGTCTATGTCATTCAGTATTTTCAGTGTTGGAGCACATAAATTCAGCTTCGGGGCTGCTGTAGACATCATCTATCTAGCAAATTCTTTCACTTTATTTAGCTATGCAGAAAGCATTAATAGTTTTTTTGCATTCAGCTTGGAGGGACATAGACAAATATATCTCTGCATATATTAGTTCTCCAGCTCTGACTTGCAATTTAGTTCACCGTAAGCTTGATCATATCAGATGGTTCTCCTAAATTAAGGATAACTTCTATGTGTTTTGCCATTCACCGGTAAGAGAGGAACAGTGCTTACATGTACTCTTTAAATCTTAGAATTAACACATGTAACATTTGTAGTTGTTGGATTTCCTCCATTTGTTAGGTAAGCTGAAAACCTCCAACTTTTGGTGTGGCTTAGCACATAATAACGATCTTCAGTTGGTTCATATATGTATTTAATGACTCTTTACCTAAGACCCTTATGACCTGGAAAATGCAATATTAAACTAAATACAGTGGAGATGAACATGCTCAGTGGAGCGCATAGTAAGTCATGTTAAGACAAACAACAATGGAAGCTGTCAGAGATTTGAGGTACAGGCAGGCTCTTGCTGGAAAATAATATCTTTCTTGACAAAGTGTTACCCCATTGATATTGGACTAAAATTAAGGTACTGAACTGATGGACTGAAAATCATTATGATTCCACCTGACATGGATTCAGGCCTTGATCAACAATATCCACTCCAAACCAGAACTACAGATCTGTGATTACTTGTCTTTTGAAGAACTGAAACATCAACTTGAATTACTTTCCAGTCTCAAGGCTTTCTGCCTCTGAGCCTCAGGGCCTCTTGAGCAAAGGCTCTAACAGCTAGAGTAAGGACCTCCTTTGTTGGGGATATGAATGGATAAAGAAGACTGAAACTGGTTTTCCTTTCATTTTGGCTGAAATATTATTTGCCTTACCTAAATATTTCCTAATATGAAGATCAGAATTTATTACTTTGTTTAACAGTTTTTTCTTTTCAAACTGCTGGCTTTTCACATATTTGGCTGTTCGCTACTCTTTCTTGGCAAGAGCCAAATCTTTTTTTTCTCTAGGTATTGTTCTAGGGGAGAAAATTGTCCAGAAGAGGTTGCTTTATTTGCTTTTGTTCCAAATATTCTAACAAACTAATCTATAATGACCTTACATTAGCTCTCATTTAAAACAGTAATGATGTAAATACCACAGGCTGTGTCCACACAAATAAATGGAAGAATGATTTTCCTGATAGAATGGCCCAAGTGATTTCCAGGTTGGAGTCTATTTTCCACTCGTATCTAGTCCTGTAGGTGTTTTCTTGTTATATTTTCCTTTTCATAGATATCCCTCATTGCTTATAGAAGTTTAGGGAAGTTCCCACTTTCCTGGGATGAAGTTGGAGAGAGGTAGAGACATGTTTTTAATTAGGGAGGAAGACGCCTTAGGGATAAGCTGTTTGAATGATTGAAAGGCTAAAGGGCTTTACTATTATCAGGGGGAGTGCTCAGTCATTGGCTATTCTAGGAAGTCAAATCTCAACATTTGCCTTGTTTTGTACAGAGATACATTAATGGTCAGAGACATGAATGTCATCCTAAATCAACAAAGTAAAGTACCTTTTGGTAATTAACTGAGAAGAGATACATAGAAACAACCAATTTCAGTGTTTTTAAATTTGGGGGATTTTTGTTTTGTCAAATAATGGGCTTGCCCAAGTTAATTTCCACTAATTAGGTCAGTTTCTACATAGTCATGAGAATATATCAGCTTTGTTTTTCTTTGAAGAAATTTTCCCAGCAGGTGAGAATGTTTAATTATCTTTGCACAGTAAATATTTATGTTGTATTTGTGTCTTTCTATTCTAGGCATCCACACTGAATACTCCTACATTTATCTAAAACTTTCAGATGATGGGGAGCCTGAATGGAAATATGGAAAATGTGGCCACTTGAAACTATTTCTAGAACCACTGATCAGCCATACATTATTATGTATTCTATGGTAACACATAGATGCATGAGGTATACACAGTTACCTCATGTGAAGGAGGGAAGCACTGATTTTGAAGACTGAGGAAAAAAACGCAAGAGGTGAGTTCTTGTAACAAACAACAAGGGATATTCATTGAAAATTCATATATTTAATTTATATATATATTTAAATATAGTCAAGCCTTAAACATCATATATTTTCATTGGAGGAGGTCTGAATTTAGTAAAGTAAGCTAGCAAAACATAGAAATTAACCAGAATATACAAAATGTATTTGTTTTTGGTATTACAACCTGACTGATGTTCATTGTCCATTTTGCCAAATCACAAAGAGAAACAGGTAATTGATTACACATACACTAATGGATCTATAATTTAGGTTCACGGGCTGTTATATTTTATGTGATATGTTTATATTTATAATTACTTTTAGATAGTTTTATTAGAGAATTTAAAATGATATATCGTGTGTTAGAATATAAAGGAATGAGAGGCTATTTTGTTCTGGGGGCTTGATAAGAATTGTTATGTGTGAAGCTTTTAAAATTATCACAGCAACCATGTTTACACATATTCATAAATAAACCCATGTTCGGGGAAGGACCTTGCTTACTGTTACTTAACAAGGCATAAAACTGTAGTTATAAAGTACTATAGTAGTTTTCTACCTTAGGATTTTAATTTGTATATTTTCAAAAACATATTCTTAAGAAACTATGATAAATTATCTTCTTAAAATAGAGAAGTGTTAAGTTACTGGTTTAACTTGAAAGCCTAGTAATACTATCTTTTAGTTTTTATGGTATCAAATTTTGATGTCATACACTGTGGAGAATAGTTTATATAACTAATTTTCACATGTAAATAATTTACCTGGCTGATAGAAGATTCATCCTGGTGAAATTCTATACTGATGATTAATAAGAGTAAGAGCACTAGATTCTGCAGAAAGTAAGGAGTGAAAAGAATTAATTGGATATAGATGACCTACCCTTATGTTCTTCAACAGGTGAGCCTTCATCAATCCACAGCTTCAGCAATGACAGAACTTCTGAATTGAGTGGGAGCAGTGATGTGAGTGACCCTGTGGAATGCTCCTCACAGTGGGCTTCTAAAGAAAGCTCAGACTTTCCTGCACAAGTCCTCCCCCCACCAAATCCATATGAAGGGAATCAATTCGTCTATATTTGAGGTTTAGTAATTGTGTGATTTTTTTGAGCAGTGAATAACCTGAAAGTTTGGGTTTGTATTTGTAGTTATACAATTCTTCTCTCTTGTTATTTGTCATGTCTTCTCATTTTGTCATAACCATCAGACGTAGAGTGAGAGAGCAATGCTTTTTTTACCTCTAGAATTTCCTTCTACTACAATGTGCTGTTTATTTGGTATGGCTTCGTACAAAGCCTCCTGAGGAACCCCTGGGAGCCTCAAGGAGTTGGGGCCTTCAGCACTTGCTCACTAAAGGAAGTATTTGTGAAGATGTTTTTAAAGACTATGACCTCACTTAATTATCACATTAATATTATTATCACATATGGATATCCGTTTCTTAAATATAATTTGTACTTCCTGATTTGATCCTTCTTTTCTTTTCTTTTCTACTTTTTTTCTGGTATTCTGCTTGCTTCTGGTTAAAATACATCTAGTCAAAACACTTACATGAATAGGTAAATCTTACTACTCATACATAACAAAATAGATAATTCCTAAGACATACCATCTTATCTTATGCCCCAATTGGGATTCATAAACTATAGATATAATATTTTTTTATCCTGCAGTATGTCTATAATTCTTATCAAATTGACAAAGATCCAGATGTCTTGTTCTGATACAATGTTCATAGTGAAGAACTCAAGAACATTAATAATAGCTGTCATCCGTTGAGCCTTTATCACATGCCAGGCACTTACCCTGTTCTAGACACTTTACTTGTAATGAAGCAACAATCCAAAAGAGTAGACATAATTGGTATCTCCATTCTAAATATGATGAAACTGAGGCACAGAGAGGTTTATTAAGTTGCCCAAGGTCACCTGGATAGTAGGTGTCAAAGCTTAGATTCCAACACAAAACGTGCAGCTCCAGAGTCCACATTACTCCCCACAGTGCTGTGCTCTCTCTCTTTGAGAGAGAATCTTAAATGGGTACACACTGAATGAGAAACTTATAGTCAATATTTGGTCTCCATAATTATCAAATCCCATTACTGCTGGCTAGCTTTTTTAAAGTAATAGTGATAAGTATGGAAAATTTTATTTAATTATAAAAATATAAATAAAGAAAATAAAATTGTCTGCAGAATAGTATAAGGTGGATCTGCACTAATAGTATCATAGATAGTTGGACTGAAAAGGATTCTGACAATGTCTAGTTCAAACCCTTTGTTTTCCAATAAGCAAACTAAGAAGACTTGTAATTACATTTTGCAAATGACCCAAACTCATGCCTTTTTACGCTGAACTTGGACTTTTCCCTTGAGTATGCTGCTTTTTCAACTCTGAGCACTGAAGTTCTGTCTTGAGCTCTCTCAGTACCTAAGAAGAGTTGTAAATAAAACTGTGTCCCATTGTCTTCTACTTCTCTTGCCAGTGTCTTCGACCTCTCTTTCCTCTACCTCTATTTTCTCCTCCCTCACTACCTTTCTCATCCCAAGAGTTTTGAATAAAAAGATACTACCTGTTAACATAATAGTTGGTGATAGTCATGAGCTATTTCATTTCAGTTCAAAAACATTTGGTGAAAATTTAGGTAGTTTTCCGTGTGTTAAGATTTGTATGATATGCAATGATTAAATGGAGAGAATTACAACTGCTTAAGAAGCTGACAGAGGGTCAGACCACGTAGTTGCCATAGGGAGCAAAAACTTTAAATGATTTTGTGGTTATTTGACACAGTTCAAAGTCTAGTTTCTTTAAATTTAATAAGAGATTAATGAAGACTATACCTCCTTTGAAACATGAAGGATTGAATATCTAATAGCAGAATATCATACTATTGGGTGGGTTAGTCCAGAAGAGGAATTATTTTTGGTGTTACGTAGATCATATTGTTACGGTGCTCACCACAAACACTACCAACTCAAAGGTCTGACTTCACGCCAATTTATTTAGAGTTTATCATCACCAGCAGAGAGTAAGTTTCTAGAGAGTAGGAACCCTTTCCTTGTTCATCATTGCTGACTTTTATGCCAAGAACTGACACAGTTTAAAGAAAGCTTTATTAAATGTAAGATTCAATTGTTGGGCCTTTGATTGTGCTTCTTCACAGAAGATCCACGAAGACTTTTAGATAGAACCTCTTTCTGGTAGTCCCAACAAAATCGTCTGAGGAGAAGTAGAATTGTCAAAGGAAGAAGTAATGGGTTCTTTGGTAGAAGAACTCAATAGATATTTACTAAATGTTTATTGCGCGTAAACCACTATAGAAGACATAATGGTGAAGGTGTGCCTGTAACATGATGGATGTGTTCATAGTCATGTTCACAATTTCATTTCAGGTTCTGTTCTTCTGAGCTCTAATCCCTGAGACAAGCCTTATAGAAGAGTAAATGGGACATAGTAACAATGTAACAGAATTTGTCCTCCTGGGCCTCACTCGGGATCCTGAGGGGCAAAAAGCATTATTTGTCCTGTTTTTACTCATCTACATTGTGACAATGGTGGGCAACCTGCTCATTGTGGTGACTGTCTTTGCCAGCCCTTCTCTGGACTCCCCAATGTACTACTTCCTTGCCTATCTATCACTCATGGATGCAATT